TGGGGTCTGGGGCAAGGTGACCCCTGTGCCGCTGGAGGGACCGCAGGGGATTTGCTCCTGGGTGCTCCTGCTGCGAGTCCAGGGGGTTAGAGGAGCTTCCAGGGCTGGAGGAGAGGGCAGCGTGGAGCTGGGCGAGGATGAGGATGCACGGGCTCGGGCTGCTCAGCAGCGCCTGCTGTGCAACGGGCTGGCTCCAGCCCAGGCGGTGGTGGGGACAGAGACAGACGGTGGCTCTGATCCGCAAGCTGGGCAGCTTGGTCGGGAGCTGGAAGCATCCCCGGGCAGGAGAGGCAGCAGCTCTGCAGCTTCACAGCGAGGGCACAACACCCTCAGGGCTGGAAACAGGAGCTGCAGAAATTCACTGCATCTTTTCCCTCTTTTTTTTTTTTTTCCCCAACGTGGATGGGAATTAACCCGTGGACCTGCTCACAGGGGACACGGCCAGACACAGCGCCTTAAACCCCGAGCTCAGAGCAGGAATTAGTGCCTGAAACCCCGTGGTCAGAGTCATGCAGAAAATCAAATTAAACGATCGTCGCTGTTGTTATGGCAATTCCTGCCTCCCTCCTCTGCTGAAGGATTGATGAACGAGGCGTTTTCAGCCAGAGCCTGGTGTCCCACTCCTCGCGTGGGCTGGGCAGGCGACCTGCCCCCCTGCCATGGGGTACACGCAGCAGTCCTGGGGGAGCCCCGCTTGGCTGCCAGTCCTGGGGATGCTGTGGGGAGCAGGCTGCACCCCACTGCAAATATCAGGCAGGGGCAAAATGCACCAAGCCAAGCTCCCACGAAGGCTCTGCTCTTTGTGCAGCCTGGTGCTTTCTTTAGGGCACGCCAGCAGTTACACAGAGGTATCCATGGACTGGCTGCTCCCCTTTTTTCTCTGCCACTGCAGAGCTCGGGGGGGGCTGGCACCATGCTCTCCCTGCCCCCATATCCTGCTCACCGCCCTGACTTCATCTCCACAGACATTAATCTGCCCGTGTCTGCCTGGCCTGCCCTGGCCTGCTTCCCTCCGACATCTCATTAAATTGTTCCGCCGTCGCCCTGGCAGGATAAGGTCACCTCTCCCTCTCTGAGCTCTGCGTGATGCCGGGGACGGTGCTGGGGAAGCAGCTGCCGGGAGGGCTCCTTGGCTCAGCTCTTGTGCAGGATGCTGCCCCGGCGCTGCCCGCCCGGCTGCAAAGCACCGCACGGGGGCTGGAAATGGGGGTCCCGCAGCCCC